AGAACCCATGGCGACCCCATCTACTTGCTTATACATGTGCCCATCCGGGCTCAAGAAGGGTGCCTCTTTAGTACAAGCTTGGAGTAGTTTCCTTAGGATATTTTCTGGTATGTCAAGAGGAGTACAGGGTGGATCATGATATACTCTGTCGGCTATCATCCCGATTGTCTCGTCCACTGGTACGTTGGTGAACAGTGATTCTACGTCCAACGAGGCTCTTATCCCTGTGGCCCGTGTGCCCAGCAGTAAGTCAACAAATTCCTTTGGCGACTTCAGGCTGAAGGCGCAACGGACATAAGGAGTCAGCAGGCCGTTGAGTCGCTTCGCCAGTCTGTACGTGGGTGTGGGTATCTGGCTAATGATTGGCCGAAGTGGGTTTCCAGGCTTGTGTGTCTTGACATTTCCATACGCATATCCAGGTTTATATTCCCCAATAATCTTTGGCAGGTGGAGTCCGGATTTCTTGGAGTTCACAGTTTCGATCAGTTTGTTGACCTTTGCTTTCAATTCGGCTGTAGTGTCCTTCGTTACCCTTTGGAATTTAGTTTGGTCAGAGAGTATGATGTCCATTTTCGCCAGATATTCGTCTTTTTTAAGAATGACATATATTGGCGACTTGTCACCTCTCCTGACAACTATCTCCTTGTTCTCACGAAGGCTTTTAGCTGCCGCTTTGAGCTCGGAGGACAGTATGGTGCTTCTGTAATTGCCTCGATTCTTTCCTCCTTCCGCAATAAGTTCTGCTTGTAAGGTATCTTTGGTAGAAATATGAGGTAATATGGACAAGAAATATGGACCAATAGGCTTTCTACAATCACTTCCATTCAATACTCATTGTTTCGTGTTCTTTCTTGTGTTGATGATTTTAATACCCTATTAAATACCACCTCACCCCATCCACCTCACTCAAATGTAGATATAAACAAATCGGAGATGTGTAAGTTCTATTCAGTTGTGTATGTGTAAACTAAAGTCTTTGAAAATGTAATAAGTTTTACGAAACGCGCTCAAGTGTCGCGTCAGACTAGAAATAAAAATGAATTTTGGAGAATTGATTTTGAATTACCACCCACAGTGAAAAGAAATGTACGAAAGATAGAGAAAATTCGTGTTAGAATTATTAATCTTACTTTTTCGGTCATATTTAATAATATATGTCTACAGGAAAGACTGCTACCAAAATATACTAATATTAAAACGCACGACCCAGCAGCAAGGAATCAAGCCTTCACGATAAAATATCGCCAGGATCTGATTCGTGATCAGATATACAAGGCAGAGAATGAAATCAAAGACAACAAAGCGCAACTACTTCATGCTACAAACGAATGGAGAAATAACAACATCGACGAAAGTCTCCGTACCCGCATTGAACAACACCTCGACATTCTCACAGACCGACATCACCTCAGCACTGAAACAAGGATTATCAAGAAACTAACAACGTTATATGGAGGACCTATGGCAATTCCACGACCAAGAGATGGCTTCCTGAACCTTGCAGGAATTAACCTCACTAAGGACCAAGTCACTCTCCTAAATCTGGGTATAAACTGTCACGTTATGTCCAGACCGAGTGAGATGGCCCGGAAAGTGGAGTTGGAAATTCTGTTGGACGACATATTCGACCTCGAGACACAAAAGAAGGTCACTACCAAAGATACCTTACAAGCAGAACTTATTGCGGAAGGAGGAAAGAATCGAGGCAATTACAGAAGCACCATACTGTCCCCCGAGCTCAAAGCGGCAGCTAAAAGCCTTCGTGAGAACAAGGAGATAGTTGTCAGGAGAGGTGACAAGTCGCCAATATACATCATTCTTAAAAAAGACGAATATCTGGCGAAAATGAACCTCATACTCTCTGATTAAACTCAATTCCAAAGGGTAACGAAGGACACTACTGCCGAATTGAAAGCAAAGGTCAACAAACTGATCGAAACTGTGAACGCCAAGAAATCCGGACTCCACCTGCCAAAGATTATTGGGGAATATAAACCTGGATATGCGTATGGAAATGTCAAGACACACAAGCCTGGAAACCCACTTCGGCCAATCATTAGCCAGATACCCACACCCACGTACAGACTGGCGAAGCGACTCAACGGCCTGCTGACTCCTTATGTCCGTTGCGCCTTCAGCCTGAAGTCGCCAAAGGAATTTGTTGACTTACTGCTGGGCACACGGGCCACAGGGATAAGAGCCTCGTTGGACGTAGAATCACTGTTCACCAACGTACCTGTGGACGAGACAAGCGGGATGATAGCCGACAGAGTGTATCGTGATCCAGCCTGTACTCCTCTTGACATACCAGAAAATATCCTAAGGAAACTACTCCAAGCTTGTACTAAAGAGGCACCCTTCTTGAGCCCGGATGGGCACATGTATAAGCAAGTAGATGGGGTCGCCATGGGTTCTCCCCTAGGTGTCCTGTTTGCAAACTTCTACATGGGTACCATCGAGCAAAAAGTCTTAATCGACATGAACTTGAAACCGGCCATATACTGCAGGTATGTTGACGACATTTTTACACAGGTACCTGATGTCAGACATCTGCAGGAGCTGAAGGAGGCATTTGAGCAGAGTTCCGTGCTGCGTTTCACTTACGAGATGGAAAAGGATGGGAAGCTGCCCTTTCTAGATGTAACAGTCATGGAAAAGAGCGGAGGTTTCCACACTGCAGTCTACACTAAGGAAACAAACATAGGAATGTGCCTAAATGCCAACAGCGAGTGCCCAGACAGGTACAAGAGGAGTGTTGTTAATGCATATGTCGACCGTGCTCTCAGCCACAGCTCAGAATGGAAGCAAGTCGACGAAGAACTCTGTAGGGTAAGTTAGGTCCTAGTCAACAACGGCTTCTCCAATGGTTTCGTCGAAGACATCATAAGAAGGAAAGTGAAACGCCATGCAACCTCTGAAGAGACAACTAACACAACACCTATACCCCCTATTAGACTAGTTTACAGGAACTTCTTTTCCACAGCTCATAAAACGGAGGAAAGGGTCCTGAAAGATATTGTTAATAGAAACGTTATCCCTACAGACAAAAATCAGAGGATACAACTGACGATTTACTATAAAACCAGAAAAACGGCCAGCCTACTCATGAGAAATTCTCCAGACACAAAGCAGAACGCTTTAAAAGAGACCAACGTTGTCTATGCCTTCAAATGCTCTCTTGGGGACTGTAAGCTCCAAAAAACCCAGTATATAGGCAGGACAACAACATCTCTTTCTAGGTGTTTAACGATGCATAAGCAACTGGGCTCCATTAAGGAACATCTTCCCACAACCAAACCATTGCCAGAGAAATCCTAGTAAACAACACAGAAATCATCGATAGATACAGCGATAGCAGGCGGCTTGACGTTTGTGAGGCACTACACATTAAGAAGTCAACACCAGCAATCAACAGCCAATTAATGCACAACTATATTCTACCCACCTCAAGACTCCGCTCCAATATAGAAGCATCAAGAAATATGGACCAATAGGCTTTCTACAATCACCTCCATTCAATACCCATTGTTTCGTGTTCTGTCTTGTGTTGATGAATTTAATACCGTATTAAATACCACCTCACCCCATCCACCTCACTCAAATGTAGATATAAACAAATCGGAGATGTGTAAGTTCTATTCAGTTGTGTATGTTTAAACTAAAGTCTTTGAAAATGTAATAAGTTTTACGAAACGCGCTCAAGTGTCGCGTCAGGCTAGAAATAAAAATGAATTTTGGAGAATTGATTTTTGAATTACCACCAACAGTGAAAAGAAATGTACGAAAGATAAAGAAAATTCGTGTTAGAATTATTAATCTTACTTTTTCGGTCATATTTAATAATATATGTCTACAGGAAAGACTGCTACCAAAATATACTAATATATATATATATATATATATATATATATATATATATATATATATATATTAGTATATTTTGGTAGCAGTCTTTCCTGTAGACATATATTATTAAATATGACCGAAAAAGTAAGATTAATAATTCTAACACGAATTTTCTCAATCTTTCGTACATTACGCTTCACTGTTGGAGGTAAATCAAAAATCACTTCTCCAAAATTCATTTTTATTTCTAGTCTGACGCGACACGGGCGCGTTTCGTAAAACTTATTACATTTTCAAAGACTTCACAAATACACAACTGATTAGAACTTACGTATCTCTGATTTTATATCTACATTTGAGTGAGGTGGGAGGGGTGATGTGGCATTAACACAAGACAGAACAAGAGGGGATATTAATAGGGTATTAAAAGTATCAACACAAGACAGAACAGAAACAATGGGTATTGAATAGAAGTGTTTGTAGAAAGCCTATTGGTCCATATTTCTTGATGCTTCTATATTGGAGCGGAGTCTTGAGGTGGGTAGAATATAGTTGTGTATATTCTACCCACAACTATATTCTACCCACCTCAAGACTTCGCTCCAATATAGAAGCATCAAGAAATATGGACCAATAGGCTTTCTACAAACACTTCTATTCAATACCCATTGTTTCTGTTCTGTCTTGTGTTGATACTTTTAATACCCTATTAATATCCCCTCTTGTTCTGTCTTGTGTTAATGCCACATCACCCCTCCCACCTCACTCAAATGTCGATATAAAATCAGAGATACGTAAGTTCTAATCAGTTGTGTATTTGTGAAGTCTTTGAAAATGTAATAAGTTTTACGAAACGCGCCCGTGTCGCGTCAGACTAGAAATAAAAATGAATTTTGGAGAAGTGATTTTTGATTTACCTCCAACAGTGAAGCGTAATGTACGAAAGATTGAGAAAATTCGTGTTAGAATTATTAATCTTACTTTTTCGGTCATATTTAATAATATATATATATATATGTATGCAATTGACGATCACAAAACACTGATCGTCATATATATATATATATATATATATATATATATATATATATATCTTACATCAATGACCTGTTATTTTATTATTTATTTACTGAAGAATGGAATATATTCCACAGGTACCGGTGCTGCCGGCCGCGAACTGCACAAGAAAGGATTCACGTGAGTATAATGGAAAATTGAACCATAAAGTAACTTATGAACTGAAGTTCTGAATAGTTCATATACAGCTATAGCACAGTGGTCAGCGGGGTCGGGTGACAACAGAAAAGTCCTGGGTTTGATTCCCCTATGTCGTAACTACCCAGGAGTTGGCCAACTATTGTGGGCTACAACCTGTGGGAGGTCAGTAGTTGGTATAAAGGGCCTCAGTAATTTTTACAGAATTCCTGTCCCCATTTTGGGGAAGCTAAAATCATATGTCATTTCAAGCCACACAGAGAAAGTAATGCTTCTCATCCACATGCATGAATATAAGATTGAACGACCAAGCCTGGCAGCTCTTATTTATTTCCTACAACTAAAGGTCATATATTTGTCTCATAAAGACTTGAAACATTCCAGTGCCTTTGTCTTCCTGACGTTTCACTTTAACTTGTTCCACAAGATTGCATAACAATTTCCTAGCCAGTGTATCCTTATTTATATTTTAAATCTAACTTTTTCCAACTGAAATTTATTATTTAGTTATATTTTAGTAGATATTTTTAACGCCTAGCTTTTATCCCCTTGTGAAAATCTTTCTTACACTTGGCAACCCATTCGGCTAAAATTATAATACTTACGGAGAACCTTACTACAATGCCGTACAGCTTGAATAATGGTAAAGGAAAGACCCAAAATGTGTAATTGTATAAATACCAAATTTTCAGGTCTAACCTACATCCTTCCTCAAGGTGTTGTATACACTATTCTAAATACAATATTTCTTTGATAATACTCACTGAAGCAAATAAACTATTTGGTCGAACATACCAGAGTATACTATTGTACCTAAAATGTTTCACATTTTGAGCCATTAGTATGAGAGAGTGAGAAAATGTAAACTCAAAATTAAACATTCTTAGACCTAACATAGTACGTATAGGTACTATATTATCTCTAACATAGCATGTAACATACCTTGCATATGTTAGGTTAGGTCCTTTAGCTTCATTTCGTATTACTGGAATCATATTTCGGTTAATCCCGTAATACAAAACGTATTTAGACGATGAGTCACAATAACGTGGCTGAATATGATAACCAAACCACACATCACAACAGGCAGACACGAGGACGTTTCGGTCCATTCTGCACCATTATCAAGTCGTGTCAGGGAAAGAGAGTGGAAGAGATAGACAGTATGAGGGAAGAGAATGAGACTAAAGGTGTGATAAATGAGAAAGAAGGTATGTAATAATAAGATTAAAGGTAAGAATAAGTTGAAAGAAAACAAGGAAGAAAGGAAAGAACACGAGAAAAAGGTAAGAAAAGAGAAAAGGTAAGAATAAAGATAATACGTTAAGGTTAGACGGAAAGGAAGGGAAGGAAGAAGGAAAATAATTGAAAATAATGTTTAAATAAGCAAAAGTTATAAAAACAAAGGTAAAAGTAATAAAAGAAAAGAAAACTGCAACGATAACTTGAAAACGAAGAGAACAAAATCTAGTAATGAAAGAGAGAGACAGGAAAGAGAGCCTAGACGGGGTAAAGCTACGTTACATCACACAATTACAAATGTAATTATCCAGGACGAACCGAAACATCGTTGTTTCTTCATTGTCCGGTGTTTGGTTTGGACGTAATACAAAGCGTATATACGGACCTCGCTCTTAGAAATGTAAACTGAGATTTATTGATCTCTGCCTTAAGGAGGTTTCTACCCATAGGTTTAATATGGTTATCAATATATATAGCTTTCAGTAAATTTGCATTCATTCTACCGAAGGGTTCTCAAAACACTTGAACTTATGAGCAGTGAGTCAATGACTTTTATGTCATGCACTTTATAAGTATGGCGACAGAACCTAATGAACAGTGAAACCTTTTGCATCATAAAATCATTAAATGCTGCTCATTATTAGTAGCTTTAATGCAAATTATGATACTAAATTAACCGAAAGTGTTTTTCATTACTCAGTCATGTGTTGAAAATTACCCCACTTCCAGTAGCTGATGTATTACATCATTTTCATTGACTCTAACCATACATACACTTATTTTACCTTCTACAGTGATGATACACATATTTATAATATTAGGCAACTGTATGGTGATGGCTCTCTCAGTCTCAGTCACTCGTATATTACCGGCATCTTTTTATTTGTCAAATAATTTTGGAAGGATAATTAATCTGCAATTCAACAGAAATAATATATTTTGTGTCTGAACAATTGATTTTGTATTCACTGGACAAAAATTAATTGTATTTTGTGACATTATAGACTCAAATATTTATATATAAACTCTTGTATTTTATAATTAAAATGAAAACATAAGATTCTTGTCATAAAAGTTAAAAATACCGTAACCTTGCAGGAACATAGATGCCCTGGATCCCTCAGAAGGAATGCTGAACGTTCTTAAAGATAAAGGAGTGTACAAGATTACGTATCAGGAGTTCATAAGCCAGAACCCAACAACCATTCCTCAAGGTGAGAACACGTCCCCGTCCTCATCCTTAATGCTTTAGGAAATAAGTAACAAAATCTCGGGTATGGAACCCCTCAGTGTCGTCGCTTCTGTAATATAAAGTTAACGAGAAAATTCATAGGAGCCTTGATGAGGGTTCGAACCTATATTGTGGGTACTCCCATGCATACGCCCTAGTCAACTAGGCCACGACATGGTTAAAAGAGTTGCAACCTGGAGATCTCCCAAACTCTCAGGGGTTTCCTGAGGCTTCCACAGAAGCCGGACCAGGATATTCACACAATCCCTACCATGCACTCTGGCTCTGTCATCCAGGAATGTTCTTCCTCTGACACTCCTCTTTCAATGCTTTCCTGGATGACAGAGCCAGAGTGCATGGGGGGATTGTGTGAAATCCTGGTCCGGCTTCAGTGGAAGCCTCAGGAAACCCTTGTGAGCTCAGTAGAACTCCAGGTTGTAATTCTTTTGACCATGTCGTGACCTAGTTGACTAGAGCGTGTGTGTGGGAACACCCACCGCACAGGTTCGAATCCTCATAACGGCTCCTACGGATTTTCTCACTGACACATCACATTAGTGTGATTACTCTGTGTATAAAGTAAATGTTATTATGTATAGATACTTAACTCTTACCTCACGTCCATGTACCTATACTCAGTTACCTAAGCCAATCTATATAAACAAAAATGTAAATGTTTGTTTTGTTCAAAATCGCTAATCTCTGAAAGTTCTTCACAGATGGCTTTGAAATTTTGACACAACGTTCCATTCGAATACGCACATGCTTTTATATACCTACTACATAGATGCCACACCTATGACAGGTAAAAACACGCTTTTTTAAAACAGTGCCATCTGTTGGACGTTAAAGCAACACACACACTGTAATCTCCGAAAGTTCTTCACCGATTGCTTTAATTAGGGGGCGTCTGGTTATTATAATGAAAGTTGTTCAATGTCAACCAATATTATTTTTCTAGTTGTATATGAAAAGTGCTTAAATTGTCCCAAGTTTCAGTACTGCAGCGTAAATAGAAAGGGAGTTTTTTTTTTTTTTTTTTTTTTGAACGTTTTTTACACATTTTCAAGTCTACACTTCAGAACACACGTTTCAGATAAAATTATTCTGTGACACTTTTCTGACACATTAGCATATAATAAAGGATTTGGGGATTTAGAATTTCCAAAACATCTTTAGTTTTCCTAATACAAATGTTCAAAGTTCCCCAAAAATTTTTTGCAAATATGGCATGTTTATTGCTATTATAAAATCAATAAATGAACTTAGAGAAAAATGAAAGCCCCCCCAATGTAGAGACTTGCCCTCCACATATACTGTGTAAGTTTCATGTAAACTGAATAAAAAAAGAATGAGTTTTGTAAACGTTTGTGTCAATTGAAAAAAAAACAGAAATGAATAAAGTCTAAGGTTCTAAAATCTGTGGCTGGGGTTGACATTAACCAATTTTCTCCAAAATTGGCATCCTTACAGATAGGCTTACGTACAGTCAGGTGTGTAAGTTTGATGCAAATCGCCCCCAAAAAAATGAAAAAAAAAAAATTAAAAAAAAAAAAAAAAAAAATCCTTTTTTTTTTTTTCCTTAAAATTTTTTTCCAATTAAACTAATAATAATATTTGTTTAATATATGCTATTGTGATAGCAAAGAGTTGTAGTTATGATTTCAGTTGACACTTTTGATTGATAATCGATTTTGACCATTTTTGCATAATTTTCACAACTACTTCAATATTTTTTTTCTCCCTTCCTATTTACGCTACAATGCTGAAACTTGGACCAGATGAAACACTTTTCATATAGAACTTGTCAAAAAAGTTTGATTGAAATCGAATGAGTTTTCATTTTTGCATTTTTGGACCCAGATGCCAACCAGACGCCCCCTTAAAATTTTGACAACGTTCCATTCGAATATGCACCTGTATTTATATACCTACTATTTAGATGCCACTCCTGTGACAGGTAAAAACATCCTCTTTTGATAAACAGCGCCATCTGTTGCATGTAAAAGCATCACACGCTCTGTTTTTCCTGTGAGAGAAATCTCAAAAAGTTCCTCACCGATTGCTTTGAAATTTTGACACACTTTTGCATTCGAATATGTGCAAGTTTTTATATACCTACTATATAGATGTCAAACCTGTGACAGGAAGAACTATGTTTTTTATTAAACTGTGTTTTTCAAGTGAGGAAATGGTGGGGAGGCCGAGGTTTACAGGGGAGGGGGGAATAGTGGGGAGGACGAGGTTTACAGGGGAGGGGGAATGGTGGGGAGGACGAGGTTTACAGGGGAGGGGGATTGGTGGGGAGGACGAGGTTTACAGGGGAGGGGGAATGGTGGGGAGGACGAGGTTTACAGGGGAGGGGGAATGGTGGGGAGGACGAAGAGGATAGGGAGTGGGGAATGACTGGGAAGACGAAGGGATGGGGGAAGGGGGGAATGGTGGAGAGGACGGGGAGACGGGGAAGGGTTGCTGTGGTTCAGCATCGCGCACGCATTGCTGAGCCTGCTTGGTAACTGTTAAACTAGTCAACTTGTCCTCTTTCCCACCCACATAGACTTGTTTGGCTGAAGGCATAGTGTTAAGGTCCTCCTTAGTAAATATAGAAATAAAATATGTATTAAAAATACTACTCATCTCTTCGTCATTATCAGTTATCTGACCTGTCTCAGTTTTTAATGGACCTATCCTTTCCCTAATCTTTGTTCGATATAACTGAAAAAACTTTTAGAATTTGTCTTGGCTTGCCCTGCTATGCGTACTTCAAAGTTTCTTTTTTCCCTTCTTATTTCTTTTTGAACGTTTGTAACCAGTTGGACGAATTCTTGTTCTATACTCGCTTCCCCATTCTTTATCCCCTTTGTACCAAGCTCTCTTTCTACTTATAAGGTTCTTCATATCCATTGTTATCCATTTCAGGTCATTAGTATTTGATTTATTCAATTTGTATGGAATACTACGTTCATGTACTTTGCTTTGAATATTTTTTAAATAAATTATATTTTGAATCCACATCGAAATCCTTTTTTACATCATCCATTGCTGTGTTCCTGTCTCGCTCCAAGATTGGCCTACCCCCCATGCCCAAGACTTTCCAATCTATTTCACCCACAAAATTTCTTAGGATATTAAAATCAGCTTTTCGAAAATCTGGAACTTTAACAAAATTTTCGCCTTCAAATCTATTCTATTCTATGCTAAATCTGATTTCTTTGTGACCTCTGTTTCTTAGCTCACTCCCTAGTTCAAAGTAATTTATTTGTGTTTCCCTCTTCGTTAACACAAATCTAAAATATTATTTTCCCGTGTTGGTTCCTTAATGTGTTGCATAAAAACGCAATCGTCAATAAATTCTAGAAAATCTTCTGCTTCAATATTCTTTGTTCTGTTAAACTAGTTCATTCCAATAAAATTAAAGTCACCCATGACACAAATACTGTTAGACCTAGATATTTCCTCCCATGGATATTTTGCTTCCATTCTGTCTAAGTTTGGTAGCCTGGATATAACTCATATTATAGCATTAATTGCTTTTTCGTTTGATTCTATTCAAATTGTTTCTGTGTGTGACTCAGTTTTAATTCCGTGTCTTTGAGACTACATTTCAAATTTTCCCTAATATATATAGCTACTCCCCCACCTCGTCTAATATATCTATATGTGTGAAATAGTTTAATTCAATTTATTTGATATTCAGCTGACAGTTCTTTATTTTCTACATTCATTCACGTTTCGGTAAGTGCAATAATATCTATTTTTTCTGTGCAGACAAGAGTATTTAAATAGTTTATTTTGTTTCTTAGATTCCTACTGTTCGTGTAATATACCCTAAGAGTATTATTATTTTGAAGCCCTTCTCTTTTCCTGTTCATTTTGTCAATTTGGTTCACTCACAAACACATACTTTTATTACCTCCCCTCTCCATATCAATTCCCATACCACTATCTACTAACAGTTTAAACCCAAACAAAACTCCAACTACAGGTTCCAACGAGATGGCAACAGCAACAACCCCAGCACTCTATAGATGCACCCCATCCCGAGCAAACATGTTATTTCTTCCATAGAAGTGTTCCCAGTTATCAATGAAGGATATTGCGTTTGATTTGCAATATTTGTCAAGTCGGCAATTAATACCAAATGCCCTCGATAACCATTCCTTTACAACTCTCATTGTTGGAAGAATGCCACATATGATCGGGATTCCTCCCTTTGCTCCTAACTAATTCTATGGCTGTCTTGAACCTCTTGTAAAGTGCCTCACTCCTAACTCGTCCAACATCATTTCCACCTGCACTGATACAAATGATGGGTTTGTTCCCATTTCCAGCCATAATATCATTCATGTCGTTAACAATGTCACCAATCCCTGTTCCCGGATAGCAAACTCTTAACCTTCTCCCCCTATCTCTGTCACAAAAAGTTATATCCAAATACCTCACCTGGGAATCTTAAACAAGCAAAAATCGCTTAAATACTTCTTATACTTTCTAAGCACTTTGAGGGACCTGTGCTTCGTTGCTCTCCATTGCTTTCTCTTTCGAGTGAAATGCAGGCTCCAAACAGCACTCGTTCTCCAACACGGCGAATGAGTTAGAAGTCCTTAGGATATCTATAGGCTGCTTTGTCAAAGTCTTCTTAAGACCCCTGTCCTTTACGACTTTTCATGACAAGGTATTTTTAATACTAGTCTCCTCCTTTGTTTCTTCTCAAAGTTGTTTCAGCTGTCGTACCTCTTCCTGTAGGGAATCCAACTGAGCTCCTACTAGATTGATCAGTAGGAGCACCTTCACATTACACCTTCACATCACCTACACCTTCTTTTATTACTGTGACACTGATATCCATTTCTCCATTTAGACTCCAGGTAGTCTCTAGTTAAAGCTCTTGGTGCCAAAGCAGATGTGTCTAGAGCAGAGTGGGTATTGAAATTGAAGATAGAGAAAATTTCCTAAAGAGTTTCTAGCATCCATCTGTTTTCA